ATGGGAGGGGAGTTTGTTCTTAAACTATGACCCATTCTTGGGACAGTGACAATGTAATACATCTGAGTGCTGTCAGATGCACTGGAGCACAATTTGACCAATGCATATCTCTTTTGTCCCAGTACAGTAGTAGTGTGCATGATGATGCAGGATACAGAAAATAAATATGTCGGACTCTTTATCTGGGATCAGGCAGCCAGGCCCTGGAAGCAGACCACAGGAATGATTTCCCTTTTTGTGAAGAAACTTTGTACAATATATTCAGAGGAGAAAGGCAAATTCACAATGGGGCTGAAGAACAGGCTGGGAGAGAGACCTTATTAGAACATTAGGAGTTGGGATAGAATGGTCTTAGTGGAGTCTATGGGAGGTCATTCACCCTTAATGAACTGGAAGCCCCTATCAACACCCCAGCACCTCCAACTCAGCTTCTCTTGCATCATGATTCATTGTGCCAGGACTTTGGTATCTATGTGTAGCTTTGATGCCTGTGTTTATACTCAGGCATAACCACAGAAGTGGCACCCATCCATCTCCATAGGGGCAGCTGTGGCACCTGAGGCAGGAACAGAACCAATATTGACTCATAATTGGGCAGATTAGATGCTCCAGTTCCCTCTCTATTCTGTTTTTGGAAGAAGGACTGTGCACTTTGGACTATATCCCTGGAGTTCTTGAACCTCCAGAAAGTAATACTAGACATCCTGCTAATGAAGACTCAATCAGCTAATTGCAAATGAAAAGATGAGACCACACTCAGGAGGGGATGAGGTGATTTCTCCTGGTCATTTCAGGACTTGCTGAGCCTCTCTGCAACAAGTACACTGTGTTCACCAAAGCCTTTCGAGGGTACCAGGTGTAGCCATGGCTTATTGGAAAGTGTGACCCATATGGAGAAAACAAAACAGGAGATGGGCAAAAGAGAGGAGATGAGTAATTGCACCTGTCAGAAAATGAGGATAATTGTTAAGGATACATGCGCGGAAGCTCTGAGTTCTGCGGAGAAAATAACCAGTACAAACATGAGGAATTATTTGTCCTTAATCTCCCCCGGAGATTAAGGTGGAGCTGATCCTTGGGGCCTGGTGGCCTGTATCACCTCCTGGCCAACACTATTAAAAGTTCCTGCTCACTCAGTGGTTAGCACAGGCGTTACACAACCCCTGTCCTGCGGTCCATCCTGCAGATACAGGCAGGCAGCTCTCATTTTGCAAAATGCTATTTTTAAAACAACCAAATCATCCCACATCGCCCCCACTGCAGCCCACAGGAAGGAGCTGGTTGCCTCACCAGTTTTTGGCACCAAAGTGCCTCACTGTGAATGTCTTCTTCTGCTGTCATACTGTCCTGATTAAGATTAATTGTCCCAGTTCAAGTGAGTCACTCAGAAAGGATGGGAAGGGTGGAGGGAAGAGGGCAGTTGGCTTCTTTTCCCTACTTCAATGTTTGTTCTGAAAGATCCAGAAGAATACAGGAGTGGAGCAAAGGAATTTAAAGTGTGGAACATGTAATAAAGGAGATCAAATGAAAAAGCTATTATGGGCTCCATGTTTATCTTCAGCTCAGTGACTTTGAGGAGAGCATGCACTTGGCTGGTAGTCCTGGAGGAGGTGACTGCTCCCTGCCAGTTGGAGGCCCTTGAACTGAACTCTCAAATATGCGGCTGACCTCGTCCAGCTCCATCTACCTAAATCACAAGGCCAGGACATCTCCCCTTGACAGACTCAAACACACTCCAGATGTATATATTGGAACCTCAAAAGGCCATTTTGGGTGGAGAATCCATATACAATCAAGAGAGAAACTGAGTAAGAAAAAAAATAGAAAACTACCAAACTCCAGATTGTACTAAAAAGGAAATAAATATTATTTACAGAGCAAGTTTTACTTGCCAGGCATCAGTGCAAAGGTTTATTCTTTCTGAGTTTTTTCTCCAAAGCTCAGATTTGCACATCACCTCTAGACTATCTTCCTGGCCCTGAGGCTCCCTGCTCCCTGGCAAGCCCCTCAGACAGCTTTGTTGACAAAGCAGGCCTGGAGGAAGCAGCTCAGGCAGTTTGGGGAGTATTTACAGAATATTTATAGAGCCATCATCCAAAACCCGTGATACTCTCTCCTTCCAAATTGAAAACATCTACATGCATGCTCTCTCCCTCATCCTATTACCTTAACAAAAGAAAGACAGGTTTGGCAAGGAAGAAGGGGTCAAACTTTGCTGATTGTGCGTTCAATAGGAACCAGTGGTCATGATCCATCTTGGAAGTCACCAGGCAGAGTGTGAGGAGCCTGAAGAAGCTCCCAGTTTGCCACATGGTGCCTTCAGGGGCCACTGGCAAGTGAATGAGTGAATTTGGTTACAAGTTCCCATCCCCTTAGATAAACCACTTCTAGATTCTGGACAACAGAGATGATCCAACCCAACGGAGGAACTAGCCTACCTTCTAGTTTAGATATTAATCTTTCTGTCCCAGCAGCCTGGAATGTCTACATGCCTGGGGACTGTCATGAGCTTCTCTATCCCCGACAATTTCATTTTGGAAAAATCCCTATTCTATATCTACATCTTGGACTGGATGGTCCCTTGAACATTCTGCTTATTGCTCCAGCCTGAACCCCACTAACTGCTTAACCAAAACTTTCTCTGAGCTCCAGTGGTTTGAATCATGGGGGGCCATATCTAATTTTTGTCCTGCTCAGGTTATTGGCAGATAAGCATACAGTAAGTCATTACTCAAACAGAAACTCATCTGTACTCCCTCTTTCCTCCACCGCCTCTGTGGTCTGAGTGTGTCCTCTTCAAAATGCACGTGTTAAAACTTAATGGCCAAAGTGATAGTATTAGGAGATGGGAATTTTCAGAGGTAATTAGGCCATGAGGACTCCTCATTTGTGAATGAGATTAAGGCCCTTGTAGAAAAATATTTCCATACAGTGTTCTGCCTGCTAGATTTCTGCCACTCAAGGACACAGTGTAACTCTTTTCCAGAGGATACAACAGCAAGATACCATCCTGGAGCAGAGAGTAGCCCTCACCAGACACCAAACCCCTGGCTCCTTGATTTGGATTTCCCAGTCTCCAGATCTATTAGAAATAAATTTCTAATCTTTTTAAATTTACCAATCACAGGTATTTTGTTATGGCAGCTCAAACTGGACTAAGACGGTGCCACAGATACAACATGTCACAAAGTGGGTGATGGTAAACCAAATTTATTATCCCCTTGGGAAGTTTATTGGGAATATTATGTGGCTGCATTCTTTCACCACAGACAAGACACTTTTTTAAAATCTTTGAACAGATAGTCAAGGCATATTATCATAATTCTAATAGCTCCATTATTTGATATTTTGATGTCTTCATGATATTTTTCTTATCTAATCAATGTTAATTCATTATCTATCTATCTATCTCTTTTTCTTCTTAGAATTGGATTTCCAACCATGTGAATACAACTCAATTCAATCTTTGCTAGAGGTAGCCAATGGGCAGGATGAGGTTACATGGTCACTTAGAAGCTCGAGCTAAGGGCTCAGAACCTAGACAGCTTCAGTTCCTATTTCCCATAATGCACTCCCTGACAGTCTCTCTCTTGTTTCAAACTTACTTAAGAAATAGAGAACATCAGACCAAGAAATCTCAAGATCCTCTCCAGGGCTTCTGGGGCAAGTCATGTCCTTTCGGAGTGGGAAGCTGAACCTCAGAAAGTTTACAGTAGCCTGCCAAAGTCACGAAGCCAGAATAGCCCAGCCATGTCTCCCAAATCTGCCCGGTGCTTCTTCAACCACTGCTCAGGATTTACGGAGTCACCCCAATTTCCACAGGATCTTTAGGCTTCTATCTGCAGCTGGAACAATTTTAGCAATAATTTTTGCTAGTGATGAAACCATATTTCCCTGGAATAGAAAACCAGAGGACACAGAGGTAGGCAGGTTGACCAAGGGATTCACAGAGCAGTAAAAGTTCCAGAAGAGATGTCACTGTGACCCAATTGTGCCCAAGAATCCCAAGGCATTCTGGGTACTGCATTTTGTTTTGTTACTTTTTGCTGACCTTTCACCCCTCATTGTGTTCCCACTTCGTGTTCTGTGGGAAAGAGAAGGTCACGAATTTGGAAAGGCAGGAAAGATGTTTTATTGGTCAGAAATTGGCACAACCTCATATTCCTGCTTCATCAGTATGCCTGGCCCATCGGTTGGAGATGGGGCTTCACCTCCTGGCTCCTCTTGGGCTCTGTAAATTCACGCTTTTTAAATTTTACAGAGCAGTTTATGGGCTGCGAAGAGGAGAAGCTGAGGGATGTGTTGTCATGGGCTGCATTGAGCAATGAACCATCTTTTTGGTATTCTTTTTTTTCCTTCCCCATGTGAGTCTTGTAAATGGGCATTTAGACCCCCTGGGGGAGATGGGAAAGGCTTCTGGGGGCAAGTCATGAACGAGCACAGGCACTGTGAGGAGACCTTTAGGAAACCTGAGACACTTGTCAATCCCTAATCAACTTGGTTTTTTGGAAGCTTGAGAAAATTCCAGCAGATCATCATCACAGTCCACTCTGAACTTCCGTGCCTGTGAGGTTAGAGGGAATGTGTGACCTGGTGATTTAAGGGTTTGACTTTTGAGAGGAGTGATGGGAGGTGGGTGTGGCAGGAGCTAAAGAACTTGATGCCATAGAAATGTTTCTCTGAATCAAGGAGGCTGATTCATAATGGATAGGGAGAGGGAGCATAGGAGGAATAGACGAACTCTGGATAGGGCAGAGGGGTCGGAGGGAAAAGGAGGGGGCAGAGGGTTAGAAATGATGGTGGAATGTGATGATCATGATTATCTAAAGTACATGTATGAACATGAATTGGTGTGAATATACTTTGTTTACAAAGATATGAAAAATTGTGTTCTATATGTGTAATAAGAATGGTAATGCATTCTGCTGTCATGTATAAATAAAAAATAAATTAATAAATTAAAAAAGAATTCTCTAACTCTCAAGCTCTCCTAGAACATTCCAACATCTCCATAGCAGCCAGACAGTTGCTTAGAAACAGTAACTGACAGGACCCCCCATCACTACTCCACCAAATATGCAATTCTTTAAGGTAAATTTGATCAGAGTATGATTGGTAGGCTAGTTGAGCAAGGGGCAGTGTAAGTTGCTAGAATTTTCTTTTTCAGTGAAGTTGGAAAAAAAAATACTAGACATGTTTCTAAGTGTCCTTATGTTTTTAAAGCCCGAGAACGTAACCAGAATGTAAGGTTAGAAAAACTGAGGAATTCATTATCATCATGATCATTATCTTCGCTTTTAGTGAATAGTTAGTAAAAGCTTATTGGGTGCTGGGCGTCTTTTAAGTGCTTTTCACACATTATCTCAGCTGTCACATATTCTCTCATGACATAAGACTATTATGACCTGCCTCTTGTAGGTGAGAAGCACAGGAGGAGTGTCTCCCGGGCTCTGCATAGAGGTGTAGAAAGAAGAAACCTCAACTTCTTCCAAGTTCTGATCCTGGCCTTTACAAGCTAGAAAGCAAAGCCTCGGTGGATTTTAGCTATTACTCAAGATTTTCCACTTTTTAAATGACACTTTGATGAACATTTATCAACTGTAGAGACTCATGGGGTTCATTGCCAGATTCCAATATATGCCTTCAACGTGCACTGATCAAATCCAGCCTTCTGCAGTCCACCCTTCCCAACCTCTAGTCATCATGGTTCTCAGTCGGGTCCCAAGTTTTCTTTCCTCACAAAGAATAAATGAGTTAATGCTAATTTGGGGAAGTTTCCAAGGGAGAGACAAGATGAAAGTGGCTTTTAGAAGAGAAAATTAGGCCTCTGTTTTCACAGTGAATTGGGGAATCTCCTAACTGCAATGCTGGGAATCCCTCAATGTTCCTTTACTGCTATGTCTTTGTTTAGCTTGCAAAGACTTCTGGGAAAGCCCCAGCCTAGTCATCAAATCTTCTACCTTTACCCCACCTTCATGTAGCCCTGATCTCTTAGGAAGGTGTTGTGTTCTCTTGAACCGGACTGGAGAGAACTTGAACTCTGTGCGTGGTCGGACAGAAGGGAAGGTGGCATCATAGGCAAGGCCTTGGGTCAGTGTCTGAAAAACCTTGCCAAGAGCAACTGTCCACTCAGCCTTAATTTTCTGCTCTTCACTACCCTGTGAGTTGTGCCACTGAAGGCCCTTGAGATTTTGTACTTAGTATCCCATACCCGAGTGGTGGTGGTGAAATTTCATGCCCCAGGAAGATGAGAAGGGAAGAAAAAAATATTACCATAAAAGTGAACTGGAAAAATTAGGACTGGAAAAATTCTACTGGGGAAACACAAAATATGATTAGACCAATTTTGATTTTTCTGGGAAGAGGTGTGTGAGAGGGGGTGGATGGTGGTGTTAATAAACAGTGCATACTTGGAATCTCCAGAAGAGCAGGAAACCAGGCTCCTTCCAAGGGCAGGGGTGATGCTTTTAGAGAAATAACACCCCTGATTGTCACGGGCGGCCCTGCTCCACAGACAGCAGGACACAGGGCCAGGATCTGTGTATTTTCAAGTCAATACACACAACCCTTGGATTATCAAGCAGTGAGGGAGGACCAGCCCTATACATCATAAACATGTCACTGGGGCTTTAAGTTCTGGGCTCTGCCTGTCATTTGCCTGGCCCTACTCCTGCCCAGGCAGCCAACCTGCTGTCCACTTTCTTGAGGAGATCTCAAGTGCATTTATAATATGATCTTCAGTGGCTTATAGCTGACACTGTCTTCCTCCGTCACTCCCTCTTTAATTCCTCCTCAGGTTTGAATATAGATCTCAGTGGTGTGAGCAGAGTTATGACTCCCCAGAGACGCTCATAGCTTAATCTCTAGGACCTGTGACTCTGTTACCTTACACACCAACATGGACTTTGTAGATGTGATGAAGGTGACATCTTGAGATGGGGGTGGGGGTGATCCTGGACAATCCAAGTGGGCATAATGTAATCACAGAGGTTCTTAAATGATGATGGAAAAGAAAATAGAAGAGACAGAGAAGGACTTGTGGCTTGAAAGCCTGCTTTGTGTTCCCTTGAAGGATCAACTCTCTTCGTCACAATCCCCCTGGTTCCACACACCTCCCTTCATAGCAATCATCACTACCACAATGACAGATGAGCTTGTGTGATCGTTCAGTTAGTGTCTGTGTCCTTTGCTAGCACACACGAAGGCAGGGACTATGCCAGGTTTTGCTTCCTTCTGAATTCTCACCACGCAGCAGGTGCTCAATAAATATTTGTTGAATAAATGAGCAAATGAAAGGATGAACAGAATCCCCACCTCCTGCGGGTCTGAGTATTCTTTAGTGTGGGTGGAAACCCAGCAGTCCACCGGGTCCCCCACTGGCTGGCTCTTTGCTTCTTGTTTTCATATCTTGTTCAGACTAGAATATTTATCTTTGCATATGGTCCTAATATATTTCTGCTGAGAGAACAGCGGTATCTGTAACTCCAATCAATGGCTCCAGGAGCTTGCAGGGATGGAAAATTTCCTTTCTCTATGTTATGATTTGTATTCAAATTTTTCTGATTGTAACTCCTGACCCTTTGGCTCCACCAGTATACGATGATCTTCATTGTCAGACTGGAGTTCTCCTGTGGCCTTCCCCTTCTCTGAATGAGAAAGATCTTCCACTAAGGCCCCAAGCTCAGTTTTGCAATACCCCAGGGGAACCTGATTTTCAAATCATCAGAACTTGGACTTTAGCATGCTCCCACTTTTATTTTTAAAGGAAGTTGTGGTTACAAAAATGACAGTCATAAACACCAAACGGGTAGATGCTCTCAGCTCAGGCAGTTACTACATATTAACTACATGTAAACACCTCTGAAGTAAGGTGGGAAGACACCTTCTTTGATCAGCACCCTCCGATTCCTCAGTGGCTCTTAGAGATGATGCACTGTTAGAAAATTCATGCGTTTGACACTCAAAACTTGCCTGGAAAGAGAACAGCGTGTTGCTAAGCTGGTCAAGCCCTTAAGTCACAAGGCAGTTGCTCACTATTTATCTTATTGTTTCCTATACCTCTCATGCTGCCCAACACGTAGTAAGCCTGGTGAAGTTTTTTGTTTTGGGGGTTTTTTTAAAGAAATAAATGAAAGCCTAGCTCCTTTCCCAAAATGGCATTTTAAGTTGATTTGCCCAACGTTAAACAGTCAGTAAGTGAAGAGCCTTGGATTTGTAACCTAATCATCCAATCCCAAGTTCAAAGCTCCTTCCTCTCCCTGCCCATGGTAGATGCCTGGAGAAGAAGGACGAGGGACAGAGGAGACACACACAGTCCTGTGGGGCTGGTGGAGGTGTGGCAAAGCATTGAAGTCTCTTCAGGCAAAGAAAAATGGCCCTGGGAGAAAGAAAGCTTTGAGTTTGCTCAGTCAAGCGGCAGGAAGAATGCAGATAAAGGACAGGCACAATTAAATGAGCAATGATGTAAGGCTAGACTCTTCTCCCCGTTCAGCTGTAGCCCCATAAACCAGGGAGAACCCCACAAACCAGGCCAGTCGGGCACACCCCTGCAATGGCAGCCCATCCAGTCCCAGGGATTTTATAGCCCTCAGGATGTTTAAAGAAGCAAAAGTCCTGAGGATACATATTCCTGGCCCATTAAAGAAAAATTATTTAACATTTTTTTATTAAAGGCAAACAGGCAGGATATGAGCTGTCCATAAACTTTCCAAAGAGAACATTCTGGCATTTGGAATGGAGACGTGATGGCCTTGTGTGGAAACCCAGTCTTGCCTGGTTCACGTTACAGGTGGCAGCACATGACATGTTTTTCTTACAGGGACAAATGGAGATGGTGAGCTTTTGAACATCTGGATTTTCTTCTGCCTCATTACCAGTTAGGAGGAGGTCTACGGTTATTTCTCAGGGCAGGATGGCTCCAAGCATACCCAGTATCACAGGCAGGACTTTGTGGGCCCCCCTCAGATAATGCTGCATGGATGCAAGCTAGGACCCTGCTGCCTTTCAGAGGTGACCTTCCTCTAATATATCAGGGGCTGGGGTAGGCACTAGCCCTTGAAGGTTCCTGGCCACATCTTTCTCTTCTCTCCTCTGGCTCACTTGTATGAATGTTTGGACATCCTTGGATCCAGATACCCAACTTCTATTGACACATTTGCAAATAAAGACTTTAAGCCACTCCTTTGGCTCCAAAGTATGCACTGGTGGAGTGAAATACCTTGCTGAGAAGGGACAGTGGTCAAGATGTCTATGCAGGCCACCATGCCAGCTTGGAACCATTTGAACAGGGTTTCTGGGTCCCATGGACACAGTCAGGGTACCCCTGACTCCATAAACTCCTTATCCAATGGGGATGAATTCTACTGGACAAATCCTGAAAGGGACTCTCTGAGGAGCTAGACCCTGGGGAGGGGTCCTGCTGGCCCAGATCTGGTGTAGTGCTAATCGCATTTAGGTAAAATTTGATTCAAACCTCCCCAAAGCCCAATGCTTGTTATGCAAATCTTTATATATCTGTCATTTTCTCAGGTCCAGGGTATTCACAGTTCTTTCTTCTGTCTCACTGTCAACTGGGTACAGTTTCAACCCCACTCCATGCTGACCCAAACTTGAAATGCTAATGCTTCATAAATTTTTAGGGAAAAAATATTCTCACCCTGGCATTTTCTTTTTACTTTACTCCAAACTGAAGGGTGCTAAACAGCCTTTTTTTTTTAATCTCTGCTTCGTCCTCCATCTGAGGAGTGAAACAAATCCTATTATTATCACAGAAAAAAAAATTTGAAGACCTGAAATTTCTCTTTGGATTACACTGTCCAAACAAGACGATTTATCAAAGCCTAAGAGTGATCCTGTTGAGAAAAATGTTCTCCTCAGCTTTATACCTATATGACTGCAATACACATCGTGGTAACACAAACACACCTACAAATGAACTTGCACAGAAGAGAAACATCCCTGGGTTCAGCTGAGGCAGACTAACGGCAGAACAATAGACCAAGTCCCCCTGGGCTGCCTAGTCCTCTGTCCTGAGGGCACCTCCTTGCTGAGTTTCCCTTGGACTCCAGCAGGAGTTCTATTCCCTGAATTATACCTACACCATCACCCAATCACTACTTTTATTTGGGTTAGCTAAAATTTCCATTCCTTGCAAAAATACTGAAAGTTTTTCACTGTTTTTCCAATTGGGAAACTGGTATTTAGAGAAACTGTGGCTTGCCCAAGGTCAGAATCTACTAAGCACTGGTCCACAGCTAACACCTAGCCACATGGCCACAGGGTATGTGTGCCTTCTCACTGATTCACCCGCAGCCACAAGTTCATTAGCAATTGGGCAGATTATGTTATGGTTTAGCAAATATCTACTGCCTTCCTTCCTGGAGTGTATTTCCTTGTTGCTACATTTCATCTCAAGGAGAACATGCCTCCCTGAGTGTGGTGTTTTGGATACAGTTTATGTGTGTCTCCCAAAGGTTTATGTGTAGGAAGTTTGGTCCTCAGGGTGGTGATGTTGGGAGATGGTGGAACCTTGAGAAGTGTGACAGAATTCAAGGCAATTAGGCCATTGGGGTCCCACTCTGAGGAGAAACTGGTGTAGTTCTCACAGAATCCAAGTTAGTTCCTGCAAGAGTGGATTGTTATAAGAGAGCAAGACTGACCCCTTCCTCTTCTGTCTTGCTGTTTCACCATGTAGTCCCTCTTGTGTATGTTGCACCATGATGCCATCTGCCATGAGGTTCTCACAAGAGGGAAAACAATTGAAGC